CTATGCCTAATATTAATAACTAGCTCATTTTTACATTCATTTGATGTTTTGCCATTTTGGCAGGTCTTATGGCATCCAGTATTTTAGAGCTGTCTATTCTCAGCTCTTCTCTTAATTTGAAAATAACTGTCATTCTGTTTCATTTGATCAGATGAAGAAAAACGCGCTTTTCCTTACTCTTTGTGCTTTTCCCAGAAAGCGTTTTTAGTTTTTTAGTAGGCCTAGGTAATTATGCAAAACCCAGGCCTAACTAAAAAATTAAAATTGTCATAGTATGTAACTCAAGTTAAAATAACACTTTTCATTACTCGTGCAGCTTAATCAAATATTTTATGTCATTTTATTACTAACATGGTAACATCAATGTATTTTTAAAAATTAGACAGCGACGTTCTCTCAGACGTTGTTCTGTAGACGTTTATCTGTTGATGACCTTTTGACCTCCTGAATTCTGCAATGAGATTTTCGGGTCGATTCAGCCGAGACGGCCCGAGTGGAGTTTCATGTAAATGTTTCGTACGAAAAAAAAAATCGCCGGCGGCTCTGGTCGTCGTGAGCTAGCCATAGAGATATAATAAGAATACTAGAGCGCTAACAGCAATGTATTCGATGTTCGAAATACGCAGAGCTGTGTGTGTGTACCATCCAAGATGGCTGCCATAGATTCAGCCAATCAAATTTCGCCTAAGCGCCGTCGTTTGCAATTGCGACCTCAATTTACACAGAAAGTTCAGTACAGCTATGGTTACCCCTATGTTTGAAACTCGAGCGTTGCGGTGTTTGGGTGTAATGTACACATAGAGCTATTAAACAACTAGAGTGCTGACAAGATGGCGCAGCAATGCAGAGTTATGTATGTGACCTATCACAAAATCAAACATGAAACATTCATCCGCTTTTTTTTTTTTTTTTTTTTTTTTTTTTAATCACGGTAATGATGCTGATGATGCTATTGATGATAATGAATGATGCTGTTGATAATGATGTTGCTGGTTAGTTCTCTAAAATATGAATAAATAATGATTATGATTATCATTTTTATTATATAATAAATATGTTAATATATTATAGTATGATGTTGAAGATATGCTTGTTTCTAATTTATATATTGACATACCTGTAAAAAATCTTGGATAACACTTTAATTCGGCTTTTAAAAAAGAGACAATTCTAATTAAACCTCTATGGTTACCCCTATGTTTGAAACTCGAGCGTTGCGGTGTTTGGGTGTAATGTACACATAGAGCTATTAAACAACTAGAGTGCTGACAAGATGGCGCAGCAATGCAGAGTTATGTATGTGTACCATCCATAGAGATATAATAATAAGAATACTAGATTTTCTCTACTGTTCCGTTTTAATTTTAAATAGTTTTGCATTATGTGGCCGTTTGCTGTTTTATGGATTTCCCATTTGCCTTTTTAAAATATATATATATATATATATATATATATATATATATATATGTATATAGGAGCTTAGAAGTATCCATAGGGGAAACTAAAACAATGAAGAAGGTTAAAAACAGTACCTTAAGGCGAAAGTAGTGTCGCTAAGGGGAAACTAAAGTGACGTTATAAAAAAGGGTATTGTCTTTTCAGGTTTTTGCTTCAGTGTCTCGAAGACCTTGATTCAAATCTCAAGAAGCTAAATTCTCGTTTATTTGTGATTCGAGGGCAGCCTTCAGATGTGTTCCCTAAGATATTTAAGGTAGGCCTAGGCACCTTAAAATATATTTTTAAGCCAATACAGAGGTAAGGGAAATGTTTCCACATTATGAAGTAGTCTACAAACGCTGAAGGACATGCAGAAATTTTAAATATACCTAAAATTGTACATATTTGTTGCTTCTGAATGTTGGCGTATAATTTGTAATGATAAGTAGTGGGGGAAAATGACTATACAAAATGAAGGACGACTGGGTAACTGTAAAACTCAAACTTTAATAAGCCTGTCACAGTGAAAACTCAAGATGGCTGACTGTTTCATGTATACATGCCGTACAAACGTCTGGTTTAATATCAAAACCTACTTTACTTTGCCTAAACAATAGGGGCGCTACACATTATATCTATGCTCAGATTATATCATTGCATCTTCTTTACTGAAAGATGGATTCAACATTATGTATGTAAGGAACAATAAATATTTAATTGACAGGTATGAGAATCGTGTGTTTTAAAAATAATAGCGTTTTTGCGTTGCTTGACGATCAACTAGTGCGTTATCGACTTCGCTATGGCTACCAGAGATTCCCATAGGCATACTCGATTTCTAGATTCTTTGGTTCGTGATTTTTGCAGGAGATGGGAGTCTGTTGTCGATTATTTAGGGTTGATCTGAGTATCAAGAGTGCCTGTTGCAGGTCTTCTTTTGACTCGATAGCTTTCTTTAGCGTTTTCTTTACTGCACTTGACGCTCGATGAATCAATTAAATGAGTGATGCACCAACTTTCTGCAAATTGCTCAAACTCGGATGTGAGCGATTTCACAGTTATGTGTTCGGAAAGCCATTTATCATTGAATCAGATTACAAACCACTGAAAATGATCAGTTTCTGCGCACCACCGCTACAACTGCACAATACATGGCCTGTCTCTTATACACATCTAGATGAATATATAATGTCTGGAGATTTTTGTATGATCGGAAAGAAATGCAAGAAAAGAAAGAGGGAAGAAGGAGGAGAAGGATGGGAAAGAGAATGTTTATCCAGTCCCCGACCGAGTTACATTTTCTCGCAATTCACTTTGGCGGATCTGGGGGAGGGGGTCATCGGTCCTGACCCCTCCCCTGGGCCAAAAAAAAAGGGGGAGAAAAGAATTCTATACATACGTTTTCAGGACCCGTGAGCTGATTTGTCGAAAAAGCTTATTTCCCGCCATCTAGAATCACAATTTTCTAGGGAATCGATTCATGGAAAAAAGTATACGCATGCAACTACTCATTTGTTTATGTGTATACACACATAAAATAAAAAATGAGAAAAATTTACCTGACCGTTTTCAAGAGGGGAAAACCTTGAATTTTGAAGAAATTAAAAAGTCATTTATAAATGACATTTCAGAAGTCAGGAAAGCTCATTTCCCGCCATCTAGAAATCGATATTTTTCCGGGGGAACCCGGACCCCCTTTTTCTTTGGTGTTCATTGATTCATTGAATGATTTTCAAGAGGGGGAAAACCTTGAATTTTGAAGAACTTAAAAGTAATTAAAAGACACCTCAGAAGTCGGGAAAACTAATTTCCACATTCTAGGAATCAAAAATTTTCACGGGGGAGAACCCCCGGACCCCCCTTTCTTTTAGGGATTTATCGATTCATCGAAAAAAAATTCGTGTGCAACTACTCATATTTTTTTAAATTTTTATGTATGTACACACACATAAAGCCTATTTATTGTAAAAACAATGGGGAAAATATATATCAATGGGAATAAATATATCAAACATATTCACACTGTTCCATGACCAACAATTTAAAGATGATTAGATTTTGAAGGATCAGGGTCAAAGGTCAAGGACGAAAAACTACTATAGTTATAAAACAGCCTAACTGGTCAAACTCGGCCACAATATTCCATGACCAAAGTTTTTGTTAGTGACTAAATTTTGAAGGGACGAGGTCAAAGGTCATTGGCACAATGAACGAAACACTAGTGTTTAACTGTCTGCCGTATAGACATGTGTTTATGTGCTTACGGGTTTTGCCAAAGAAGTGTAACGAAGTAGCATTAATTTCACAATGATTTATGTTATCCACACTACCGAAACCCGGGTTCGAATCCCATGATGTCTATTTGTTTTTGGGTGGTTTTTTTTTTGTCATTATCTTTTATTTAATTGTCCGTACTACTAAACGTAAAGATTGAGTGCAAATCTTTACAGTATGATCTATCCTTTATGTTTAGAGCGTTTAAGGTACGAAACTTGCCAGTTTCATGCATTGAACTATGATTATAATATTTTTCTTGCTCTTTCATTATATTTAGGAATGGAAGGTGAACCGACTCTCGTTTGAAGTCGATTCTGAGCCATTTGCTCGCAAGCGAGATCAAGCCATCAGAACTATGGCAACGGAAGCAAACGTGGAAGTAATCTCATGTATTTCTCATACTTTGTATGATCCATTGGAGTACGTACGCTTCATTTTGTTTCATTATTAACATTTTCGTCATTGTTATATTTAATAATTTCATGTGGCTTCCAATAGATTATTTTGTTAAGGTTTTTTTGACTAAATTTAATAGAGTATGTACGTTTCATTTTGTTTCATTATTAACATTTTCATCATTGTTAAATCGTTTCATGTGCCTTCTAATAGATTATTTGGTGTAGTTGTTCTACTACTAAACCAAAAAAACGTACCTTAAAACTTATCACCTTTCAATACAACTTCAATCAGCTTCATCATTATTGTTATTGATTAGTTATAATAGTGATGTGTCAGTGCTATTATATAACATATATTTTATTTTCATTTGGTATTACATTTAATTTCTTAAAAACATATGGGTAGATTTTTGTCATATGTCAAGTATCAAGTAAGGACATTTTATGAGCTGAAAATTATACTCAATACTCTATAAGGGTGTGACAGGGCTGAAATATCACCTTATTCATCCAGACAGCACGTCTTACTTTCTACTATACTCCCCAAGTTCCTTCACAAAAATCCCCAATTTTTCTCCCAAAACCCATACGTTGACACAATTACTCTGCTTTCTGTTGGATGTGTGGACGATATACATAATAATAAATTTTGTTTGAAGGTTTACATGGCGAAGTTATAATATACATTAGGGCTTGTGGTACACAAGCATATTAGATAATATCACATAATATCAGATATTATTCTCCCGAAGACGATTGGAGCAACTCAATTGAAATGTCAAGATATTCTCAACCAATAAAAACAGTTCTTTACAGGACTATCTACGTGGTGTACCGCAAGCATTAATATATAATAATTAATTTGATATGATCATTATTTTACTATTAATATTAATAATAATGGTGATATTATCAAATAATAATTCTCTAACTATTTTGATTCTTCTCTTTCAACAGAATACTTACGTTGAATGATAATGAACCTCCGTTAACCTACAAACGATTTCAAACTCTGATATCAGGTATGGATCCTCCACCACATCCCTGTCCTGCTCCTACAACTGAGCAATTGGAAGGTATTGAACGAGGCATCGAATTAGATCACTATGAAAAATACGGAGTACCAACGTTAGAGGAACTAGGTAATTTATGTGTTTGAGTGTTATCCTCTTGCTGTTAATTTTCACTACTTGTAATTTTTTATTCATGATGTTTCTTCTCTTATATAATAATAATCTTGAGTCTAGCTAGTAAAGAGCCTGTGAAAATCTCCAAACTATCAACAGGTTCTCCTATTAAAGAATGTAATACAAACCTTTCAATTTATAGGTTTTGACACCGATAATATTCCACCAGTATGCTGGCAGGGTGGAGAAACGGAAGCTAAGAAACGTCTAGATAGACACTTGGAACGTAAGGTATGTCCGGTACAAAAGAATTTATTCTAAAGCAAATCCAAAACTTTTTTAGAAACAGTTTATAATGAAAATGATAAATATGACAAAAAAATGCGTGGATCCAACCACTAAATGTCAATGCATATCAATTGTATGCATTAAAATAAGTGCTACTCACTTATCTATTATTAAAATTGTGCCCCTCTCAAAGTGACGATTAACTACCTGAATATAGAGAGCGCTGCCCTGACGTTGTTTAACAATAGCACTGACAGGTTCCTAACGTACTGCATTGCCTACAACTTGATAACTATTGGATTTGTAGTTCGGCATAATAATTAACCCATCGATCATGGTGGTGACGCTTTTTATCACAATATATACAAGGAAGGAAAGTTATGTTTTATTTATTTTGCATTCCAGTAACCGTGGAAATCATCTACAGTAAAGTTGGTGTTCAAAAAACTTAATTTACGTTTTCTAGTTCACAACTCACATCAGACATCCGGTTATCCACCTCATTCATCCTTCGAAATTGATTTTACACCCAATGACTGAGCCCCATAAACATAATGAATCTGTCCTTTATAGGAAATACCATTAACTACGAGCGGGGTACCATCACATTACATACAATATGTCTACCGGCGGTAATCTAACTTTCGTGCCGAAGGAATAATTCTTCAATGGTAGTATAAGATTCACTTCATTCTTTGTCGATTTTTCACGTAACGTGCAGAGTATAAGATGGACTTTGAACAGCTGGTCCTCATTGAAATGTTCTTCAAACACAATGTAAACCTATCTGGAAACAACTTAGTATTTTAGTAGTTTCTTTTAGCATATTTTTTTGTATCAAATTATAAGATTCTACATAATGTTTACCCAACACGTACTATTAACAAAATGGGCTTTGTTTCAGATTCATTCTGTAGCTTATTTTGCAATGAATCTGTTGATTCAATAGAAAATATATGATCTTTAAAATATATGGTAAACATGTTTATTTTTGTTTTAGACATTATTTCCAGTTATAATATCTGTGAATGTTATCAGATTTTTATAAACAACTTAAACATATTGCAAAATATTCTATCAGTAGATTTAAACATGAGAAAAATACAAATCCACTGTTTGATTTCACCCCTATTTATATACAAGAAAACAAGAAAATATTATTGTCTGTATTACAATTTTTTTTTTCATCCAATATGAATGACTTTTTAATTTTAATGTATTATAATTCCTGTAATTGTTCTAATGTACTGTAGGCCTAATTGCATTTTTTTTTATTATAAGCATCAAGAACCTGAATTCCAACTGAATAATGGTATACATACTGGCGAATAAAATAAAATAATATCTCTATCAACAAAGATTTTGTATTTAACAAAGGTTCAAAATGATAAATATAGTATGAAATTCTGAATATTTTAAATTATTAAATGATTAATGACATAACGTTTAAATATCTAAAAACAATCTTAATTGGATCATGTTATACAATATAACAATAAAACTTTATCTATGTATTAACTCTAGGCATGGATTGCTAACTTTGAATCACCTAAAATGACTCCAGTTTCTCTCATGGCATCTCAGACAGGACTCACTCCTTACTTACGATTTGGCTGTTTGTCGTCAAGACTCTTCTACTGGAAGTTATCTGAGCTATTTATGATGGTAAGGAAAATATAGTAGTACTATTTTTTCAGGAAAATAAAATGCAGCTACCAATGAATAAAATACCCTCACTGCGTATAAAATGTATGTCAATGTATCATTCAAGTTAGGTCTGTTTATATATTTGCGTGTATTGTACTGTCTCATTGAGTCATCTTTGCTGCAAGAGCCTGCTTTTGAAATGTTGTTGAATAAATAAATAAATATATATATATTTATATTCTTTCCTCTAGGTTCGGAAAACAAAGACTGTGCCACTGTCCCTGCAGGGGCAGCTCTTGTGGCGAGAGTTTTTCTACACTGTAGCCTGCAACAATCCAAATTTTGACTGCATGATGGGCAACCAAATCTGCGTGAAGATTCCGTGGGACAAGAATAAGCAAGCGTTAGATAAGTGGGCTCGCGTAAGTTATACTGCAAATAAACAAGAACACTGAGAGAAGTGAAATCGAGGTGTAACATTAGAAAACTTCAGAAATTTCAACTAAATGTCACAGGTTTTTTTGTGTTACTAATTCCTTAATTTTACCATCTTGGTGAATATGTGGATTCACAATATAAATTGGTATATTCGCCTGACCATTTCACGAAAAAGCTGTCTGGGTACTGGGTCGCACAAGTTTGGGCCCTCAACATTAAATTAAAAACTCTTAGAGATTGTCGCCGTTGATTTGTCTTTTATCGCCTAAATAAGGGGGTTTTTTGTATATCTTGGAGAGGCTGCCACATTACATACATTTATTTAATTTATAAGCCATGAAATGCTCACACCTAGGGCTGAAACATAGCGAGAGTCACTTTACAACCCGTCAACAGTCCAAGCTGTGGTAACTACTGTAGCATGGCCGGCCGAGAATGGTCAGCATGTGGTTTGAACCCTTGACAACTAGGTTCACAACCTGATGGAATCGCTGCGCCAAGCCGCCTTCCCCAATGTGTTGTGTAGGAGTTGACTGCCTTGCAATGTGCAAGACTGCACATTGGAATTATGCCTTTTCTATAGTACTTTCTGAGGATTAATTCAATACTCCCAAACAGAATAGCTTCTGTTTTGCCAATTTGAAGAAAGAGCTTATTTTCTATTATCCATAGTCTACAAGAAGCTAACTCTTAAGTCAATGTATCAGCAATAAACGCTGAGAATTTTCCGATACAAGCAAGTCACTGTCGTCGGCATAAAGCAATGATTTCCTACTAACACTAGTGGCCATGTCATTCACGTAGCATAGGTCTATCTTGTATTCGACGAGATAGATGGGTAAAGTTTGATAGGTTTTTTTGAAGATCCGGTTTGTTCACTGTTCCAATTCAATTTCTACAAAATGTTTGATATATTGCTAAAATTCTTATAATCTATGTTAGTAACGCTGAACATTGTTAACTTTCATGAAGTGGCATTTTCAAAATAAAAAAAAAGTGAAATTCAACAAGATCGAGAAAAAATAAGTAATAAATGCTACGAATATAGTTGAAAAATTGACACCAAAACGTTAAAAGGTATTTCTTTTTAATCAAATTGCCATGACGAATCATATATAGTTACGTTTGGTTTATCAATAAGTTTTGTAGCGGCAGTTTTGCGCAGCGCAGTGCTTGAGGTTTGGGATTTCAATTGTAACGTTGGGATTTCTAGTCTCCGCTGTGCAGATTCGCTTGTGTCCTTGGGCAAGGCACTTTAGCTACATTGCTTCAGTCCACCCAGCTGTATCAATAGGTACCAGCAAACTGCTGGGAACTAACCTGCGACAGACTAGTGTCCCGTCCAGGGGGAGTACAGCTCTAATCCGCTTCACACTACAGAAACTGGGGATAAGCTCCAGCCCTATGAGCCACAGTGGCTCGGAAAGGATTTAGTAGTTTAGTTACCAGTAAGTTCTAGGAAGAAAAATATTAGGATGACCAAAATGCCCAGATTAATGTTAAATGGTTTTTGTCTTTTGCAGGCCAAAACTGGTTTTCCCTGGATTGATGCCATTATGACTCAGCTACGACAAGAAGGCTGGATCCATTCGATAGCACGCCATGCTGTCGGATGCTTCCTTACTCGGGGTGATCTATGGGTTAGCTGGGAGGAAGGCATGAAGGTAAATTATCGACTTCATTTTCATTCCATTGCTATCTGTGTCTAAATATTTATACATAAATGTGTATGCACTAAATATATGTGTGCTTGTGTATGTATGCATCATTGTTATACACATATAAACACAAGTACATCAACATTTAGTGTATATTATGTGTGTGTGAGTGTGTGCATAATTTTATGTAGATGTGTGTGTAAGTATTTGAAATTTGTGTGCGTGCATATATATACATATATATAAATTATATGTTCATATATGCTCACATGCAAAATGTTTTTTCATACACACACACACAAGCAACACCACACACACACACACACCAAGCTGTCCAGACAAGGATTTCTGATCAGCATGTAACAACACAAAAAGAACCTGTAGTCTTTTTGTGTGCATATGCGCGAGAATGAAAAAAGAGCAACTTCACTACTGGGTTTTGAATTTGGTGTGATACACATATGGCTTGGTTAGGTCAAAAGAAGCAAGTACAGCCTGTTGTATATGATAGCTCAAGTTTAATTCCCAGTGGAGATGTGGGATATTTTTTTCATTTCTCAATCAGGTCTCCTGTTTTGTTGGATCAGCTAATATGATTGATATGTTTTCAAGTTAACCATCAACGTCCTCAATCATTTTGTATTATGCAAAATTTGAAAGTGAAGAAGCAAAGATTCACAGAAGTTTAATAAAGAAGATTAACTCATAAGAATTAACATATACACGAACCGACTACCAACCAAGAAGAAACTTTGATTTTGTTTATCAGCGATACATTCTCTGCATTTGGTTTTTGCTGATTTTGACATCATATTTGGCATCATTTTTGGCTTCAGTAACTTTTTTGGACATCCAGTCATTGTCGGCGAATGCTGTCAGTGTTGGTCAATATCAATCAATGCAAGTCAATATTAGCCAATAACAGTTTCAAATGTGAAATTAGATTTACAAAGCTGAGTGTATATGTTAATTTAAAATCAAATCCAAAATATATTAGAATTGGATTTTTCTTCAGAATTAACAAAATACAAATAATTATTAATATTGATTTAAAAAACTATGCAGTGCTCTTCTCTGTAGAAGTATTTAATGAAACAATATGTTAAAAGACTGAAAAAGCAATGACAATTGATACTTATGAATAATTTTATTTTGTTCTTTTTAAATAATAATTTTCTATATTTTCCTTCTCAAGCCTTCTATCAACCCTCTTTCCCTCAAGCTTCCTTCCTTATTCCTCTCTTCTCTTTGATCAAGCGCTAATCACCAGATCTTTTGTTAAGCCATTTCAGAAGCTCGCCTCCCACAGGTGCTTTATCGGCCGGAGACCAGGGGGAGGTGGTAACGTCTTCGGAATTTTCAAGCTACGTGTTTCTCTTTCCATAAATTTCTGTGTTTTTTATGTTTGTATCGTGCAGTTAAGTTGGGTTACACTACTGATATCACTGTTATTGCAATTCAGGTAGGTTTAGTTATTTTTCTTCAGAATAGACACTAAATTATTTAGTAGAATAACTATTGATATAAGCTAACATAGTTAATGCTTTGTAAACAAGAAATATAATGATGTATTTAATTAATTCAGATGTATAATTTTTTTTCTTTTGAAGTTTAAACAACCACAAAACAAAAGTAACTGCAGCAATAAAATTTTCCCATTTGTTTGTGAATATATTTGTATGGTAAAATACATGAGAGGCTATACTTTCAGCAGAGTTTAAATTATCCGTTAATGGCGCCTGCCCTAAAATATAAATTAATTTGCTGATTCAACAAAAAGTTATAGTGATTGCAGTTCGTTGTTTTATTGTAGCAAAAAAGCACCCTATATAAAATGTAGCCCATAACCACCCCGCGGCTGTGACCAAGTTACTGGAATCACCACTGGTTTTAACAGTTATTGTGTTATATGTGTACAACTTTAGTAGAAAACTGTAAGATAGCCAGAAAAACAAAATTCAACAATGGTGTTTATTGTATTATTGGTGTAATCCATTTTAACTGCATCCTTAGTACGTATTAACGCAAATTCATTAGAACTTTAGTATTTGGTTTCTTATACCCGCTAAAATTTTATTCGAAATGGAAGACTTCAATGGTGCCTGTAATTGACTATCCATAGAATAATAAAAATTTATCTGTGCCTTTACAAAGGGCGAAATGGGGTGTCTTCTAGTCATTTTACCATTTAAGAGTATCACTATCTTACTTGCAATTACAGGGTACAAAATCTAAAACCAGTGAAAGGGGAATTCAAGAATCTGCAACTATCTCTTGGCAGCCAAACCTTAAATATATTGCAGTTACTGAGCTTGAAATATCAAAATAATTTTTGAAATAGTAATTTAAAGTAATTAAAATGCTCCGATATATTGATAGCCTCCTCATTTGTTGGAATTAATAATCAAGTATGATCATTATTCGCATTCTTTTGATGTGTAGTTTCTTTTATAGAAGTAAAAACATGCACGACTATGTTAAAAATCAAAATTATATTAGTATATTAACTAATTGTAAATTTACCGAAGCTATTACTTAGCCACTAATCGTCATTTTCCATTACATTTCTCTATTATTAGACTATGTATAAAGAAAACTGGAATAAGGAAACCTCGCTGTATACTTACCATTATTCCAAGTTAAATTATTTCCTGATAACTTTTTTCCTGTCGGCCTGAAGCTAACAGTTGTATTTTCTTTCCCTCTCTTTCCTTTTTCGTTTACTTTTTCTGTTTTTTTCTTTGTATTACCTGTTGTATTTTTGTATGAAGTTTTAAAAGAGGAAGAAAGCAAGAACAGTATATTACATATTCTGGTGTCTGTATGTTCATGATCCTGACTACATATAGCTACGCGTGGACACGCTTCATTGAGTCAGCGTACAAGCTTCTTGGGTAACAAAATAAAAATGTTTGTATAAGATTAAAGAAATGAACCTGGAAAATAAACATGTATAGATAAAAGTCGGTAACAGCATGTCTTTTGTCATTGCTTTACTTTTTTACCTTTTTTGTGTTATGTTTGTTTTGTTGGCGCTCTTGTGGATGCCGCTGTGCCACCATTTTACTGCAAATTTTAGCTCTATTATTTCTATTTTGGTGTCATATTTTTGTCTTGTACTGAGTATTTTGTAATTCTGGGTGTAATATAGCTTTCAAACTGCTGATTCTCTGATATTTAATTTCTATATTTACAACTGTAAGTGGATGATTTTACTATGAGCTAGACCTTTTTTTTGCTGAACTGCTGACTGGCAGGACGGTCTTTGAGCTTGCACATTATGCCAACTACAACTGAGTGGAGCTTATAAACGCATTTTAGACAAATATTTCAAAGCTGACATTGGACGAATCTTCCATGGTAAGATCTCTTACAATAATCCTAGTTCCTTAGTATATTTGCAGTATTTTGGACTAAGGAGGAAAACGGAGGAAAAAAAAACGGCCACACTGCAGTAGTAACTTGGAACATTCTTATTACTATCTTTTTCAATAAATCACCACTATTATGTTGACGAAAATATGAACGCCATAAAAAATATTTAAAAGTATTAGCCAACCAGTGACTTCAGCTACTTGAACTGTGAATTAGCGCAATGGTTAGAAAGAACTTATTGAAGCATCTAACAGTGATGACAGACAGTAGCTTTTGATCATACGCTCACAACTGTTATTATTCCTAGCTAGACTAATCAAAGTTCTTGATAATGACAAACGCTGGATGGACAGAAAATTTGAAGAAACTACAGAACATCTAAATATTCATGTGACGGAATACAGATTTTATGGTGTTCTCCTCAGAAGGGTATCATCAACAAAGCCATATATATTCAGTAATAGAGAAATTAAGAACCTAAATTAATCAGAGTCTGCTCAGTGACATCATTGAATTGCTAACGTTAGCTTCCATCATCACTGTTACTAAAATTGATTGATTAGAACAGAATGCAACTGCGTAATACACTAATGCATTATTGTAAAAAATGCCAAAGCTAGAATCCCCTCAAGTTAACTTAGACAAGAATCCATTGCTAATTATGTAGTTGTTTCAGTTACTAAGGAAGGCTGTGCACCATTTACTGAATGATTCACCAAAGTTAAAAGTATTAAGTACGAAATAGGTACTCTTTTTCTATTATGTCAAATGCCTTCTTGTTCATTTTTCTCATCTGAATCGTAAAACATCTT